GCACAGGTCTCTAGGAAACCTCACTTACTGTAGGAAAGAGAAGGACCCATAAAATATAAACCCTTTTTCTCTCTTTTTTTTTTCAAAACAGAGTGAGAATAATGTCCATGAGACCTGACATCCACTAGCGATTAACAATCAATTACAGCTCAAGCCATCCTCTTCCTTTCCCAACCCAGTCATTATAACCCAGAAACTGCCTTTTGCTGTTGTTAATTGCACAGTGATTTTAAAACACTATCTAGAATTCACATACTGATGGTAGAAGGCTAGATTTATGTATTTTGGCTTCCAATTCAGATTATAGCTTATTATCTGGGATAGTGTAATTCTAGCTACTGGCTAGACATATGGCAATTCAGGTGCAGGTTGCTATCAAAAATCAATTAGGAATGAAATACACCTTGTGTTACATACACTGTAAATTCATGCTTCCCGTTTAGGTGTTCTTCACTAGTTTAGTATCACCATGATGAGCATCTGTCCTATTTACAGCTTAAAAAAGCAGACTATTTTTAGGTCTGTTGTGAATCTGAAAATTTGGTAGACGTCAGTCTTGGGGGTAGGGAGAGATGATGGAGGAGAATGGGGTTAAATAATTATTTTTTTTTTCCCTGAACAGGAAATATTTTTGAGAAATTTTATTCTGTTTTGACTAAGATATTTCAATCATTGCATAATTCAATATTTTCTGACATTTTAAGATTATTTAACTTTTGCTTAGCTGCCTTCTTTTGATTCATGTTACTTTTTAAACAAATAGTGCTATTCTGAAATTCCCTCTAAAAATACTGGCACAAATATTTTTAAATTCAGTGTTCCCATCTTTTCAGTCAAAACAATTAGTCAAAAGTTGATCCAGATTTGTGAATAGTTTGGTATCAAGAAGCTCCTTTTTTCACAGCAAGTTTCCTCTTGGCCTATATTCTTGTCCTATCCCCCTGTCACGTGGCACATTAGTTTTCTCTCTTTTTTCTCCATAGACTAGAAATAGATTTGAATACACTTCCCCTGACACGTTTTGCACTCCCAGTGTTTGTTGCAAATACAGAAAAACCTACTTTCTCTGCTTTTTCCTATAACAAATAATCCAAGGATCTTCTTTTAATAATCCAGGGTCTTCTTTTAAGTAGAAAGGCCTTTCACCATTTGAACAAGCTTTAAAATTGGCTATAAAAATATCACCACATTTGATGCCTCCAAGTATGGTTTAGCTGGAGAGCAAGACTGCAGAGGTATTTAGCAGCACTAATGCTCAGGGACAAACCTTAAAATTGGCTATAAAAATATCATCACATTTGATACCTCTAAGTATGGTTTAGCTGGAGAGCAAGACTGCAGAGATATTAAGCAGCACTAATGCTCAGGGACAAACAGTAAACACATTTTCATAATGTGACTCAATAGAATAATTTAGCAGACCTGTTTGGGAAAGTGCATAAAACATTGGATTGAGTATCAGTATTTCCTATTAGTTTTAGGGATTTTAATAAGCTACAAAGTTGTGGTCCGGAGATCAGGTTTCTCAGCTCAAGGCTTGATTAGAACCAGTGCCTGCCTAACCAGATGTGTATCTGAAACTTCCTAAATGTGAGGACATTACAGGTCTAATTTTTAAATTCTAATTAATCTCTCTCCCACAATGTTTCTTGCAATGCCCTTACTCCCACGTACATGCTTTTAAATAGACCAACCCAGTCAGAATAAATCAATGGCATGGACTAAAAGCTGACATGAAAAGACATTACTAGAAATGATAGACATCATCCAGATTTCTGGTCTTTATCTTCTGTTTTACTGCTTCATGTTCAGTGCTACTGATCAGCTCCTTGTCATAGCTCCCCACATTAATCACACATCTCTTGTACTTGCACAGTGACCCAAGTGCCTTTTGTAAAACATCATCATAACATGCGACCTTTCTGATACACACAAGGAGCTCCAACATGTGCTCTCATCATGATGAAACATGTGGTACATTTTGTCCGCTAGGAATCCTATTTCCAGTTCTCAGAGCAAAAATTAAGCAATCAAAAGTACAAAAGGCAACAGTCCCACTCTCCTGTCTCAGTCTCTGCCTTTCACCCTTCATGTTTTTGTGAGTGAAACTGTTTTGGGTTGTGGAGCAAAGGAACTCCAGCTCTGCACCGAGTTAATTCTTCTAAGATGAATTCCAAGGGACAGCACTTGCATATTTCCATGACATTCCTTAAGCAAAGACTGTTGTCATTAGCCAAGAAATGAACATTGATATCCCCAGATGAATGACCTGTTCCCAGATGAGTTACCAGTCATGGGGAAATAAAAGACAAAGCGAGTGACCTAAACCAACTCTGTGTTTTCCTTTGTCAGTGGAGCTGTGGACGCGCAAATCCAAATCTCATACTCCATGTTCAAACTGTTCTGCAGGTCACCAATACACATAGTTACATCACTTACATGTAGAACACTTGTTACCCAGAAAAATTCAACATAAATAAGCACTTCACCTACTGTTTAATTACAGATCCTCCAGTATGGAATACACAGTTCCTTGCCAGGGTCCAAAGGGTGAACACTTGTTTTAAATTGAAAAATGGATCCCCACTGATTTCAAGCAAAAGACTGTTTGCAGGGATGTAGTACTAGGAAAGGAGAAATTCTGGAGGGTGTCACAGTTTTAGACTCTTTCTCGAGAATAGGCAAAATGGCCAACACCCAGAAAGGGATACTTGGAATTTTTAAAACTCCATGTATGGGATTTTTTCCTCACTAGCTAAAAAAGTTAGAGAAATATTTTGCCATCTTTTCATGGAGATTTTAGAACATTCCCCATTTTGCCAACAGATGAAGGAGGGAGAGCAGCCTGATACAGTAGTACAAGGATTAATGGGATGAATAGATAGCGTTACTCCAACGCGCTTCAACTGGGGCTTTCCTCAATCACGGAGCAGCTGCCACAACAGCCTGAGATGTAAAATGAGAGCATGCGTTTAGGTGAAAGGATCGGGGCCAGCTGGCCTGACGCGTTGGTGCTAAACCAAGACAATCGCACCGTCCAGGCTCTTAAACACAGCCCGTGGCTTTGATTTCTGCGTTTGAGAGGCATCTGATCACAGATGAGGGTACACGCAGCCTTTACCGGAGATACTCTCACGCCGTGCTGGCGGAGTCAGGCCAACGCGTGCTAAACCGAGGGGCCGTAAGAGAGGAGAGGTGCTGGCCCTGCTGCCCCCGCTGCCCCCGGGCTCTGCCCCTGCTGCCCCCGCTGCCCCCGGGCTCTGCCCCCGGCGCTGCCCCCGGCGCTGCCCCGCCGGGAACTGTCCAGCACGGCCCTCCTGAAGCGGCTGGCCCTCCGCCTCGGCCCGCC